GTGGTAGCGCGTCCCTGTAATCCTAGCTACATGGAAGTCTGAGACAGGAGAAGCGCTTGAACCTCGGAGGCGGAGGCTGCAGTGAGCCAAGATCATGCTACTGCTTTCCAGCCTGGGCGACAGAGCTAGGCTCCATCTCAAAAAGAAAAGAATCCAGATGTTTGTGTCAAATACATTTTTGTACGGCAAAGATGACACACAATAGAGAAAAGTATTTGCAGTGGGTGTGATAGGGTGAACCCTAACCTGACAGAGCCTTTACAGATCCATGACAGAAAGAAGAAGACCCAAGTTGAAAATCAGTCCCTTGGGAGAGGGTGGATCGGGGCCAGTCAGAGCCAGGCATGGAGTGAGCAAAGTGGCTCCTGCCTGTCCACGCAGGGCTGGGGGACACGCCTGCACTGGGTGCAGCTCTTCTCTCACTAGCTGAAACAGAGAGAAGCTGGCAGGTGGTCCTCAGGGGCCTGGCAGGTACTGTGGAGTCAACAGGCCCCACCAGGGAGCCCCGCCCGGGCTGTTGGCTGGACCCAGAGCTGTTTTAATTTGTGTTCATTTGACCTGACAGTTTTCAGTTATATTCAACCATGAGAATGATGAAGTTGTGATTCCGTCACTTCTGTCTCATATTTGTGTTTTGTTGCAGGGAAGTGGGAATGTCCTTGGCATCATTGTGACGTGTGTGGCAAACCTTCAACTTCATTTTGCCACCTCTGCCCCAATTCGTTCTGTAAGGAGCACCAGGATGGGACAGCCTTCAGCTGCACCCCGGACGGGCGGTCCTACTGCTGTGAGCATGACTTGGGGGCAGCATCGGTCAGAAGCACTAAGACTGAGAAGCCCCCGCCAGAGCCAGGGAAGCCGAAGGGGAAGAGGCGGCGGCGGAGGGGCTGGCGGAGAGTCACAGAGGGCAAATAGCGCCAGGCAGCAGCTTGGCCAGATCCAGGGGCGGTGCAGGGCGGCCGGCCCTGCCTGCGGCAGAGGGCGAGCATGAACTGGCCCAGAGGACCCAGCTCGAGCCTCCAGGACAGACGTACAGGCCTCCTCGGGAGGGAGCGCCTCCCCACCACTGAGCCATCCTCGGCAGCATCTGCTGCGTCTGCACTGATGACCGTCTGAGCCCAGCTCAGCGTTCCTGGACAAACAGCCTCACTCCTCAGCGTTACCGCCACACTTGAATTTCTCAGAATGTCAAGGTTCCCTCCCGCTCTCTTTTTTTAGTTTGAAGTTAATTGGCATATGAAATGTTTTAATCTCCTCTGAAATGTGTAGCGTAGGCTTTTCCCGAGGGTCGCTAGGAGCTCGGCTTCGCGTTGCTCTGTGTCTGCTTTCAGCGCCGTTGCCACTCAGGAGAGGCCAGGTGAGGCCCGTGTGAGGACCGACCCTGGATTCCTTGAAACCGCCATTGTGACCGTTACTCTGCTCTTTGGAAATGGCTGTATCATTTTTTTTGTACTAATGTGAATTATTCCTCAGAAATGCTTCTTTTCCATCCTAGTGAGAAGCTGGCCCTGCAGGTGGTGGCAGCAATGGTGTTGTCAAATTTCCTCCCGTCTTCTCCTCACGGATTTAAGCGAAATGCCGATAACACGTCCACTTTCACCGTGTGGTTCACGCGGAGCACTTTCGAGGGCTGGCCAGGCCGGGCCACTTTGCCCCTGGGCCTGTCTTCTGAACTCGCTAGGTTCTTATCTACATTTGGGGGAGAAGTTTGTATATTTTTTCATTTGGCTTTTCTTTACCAGTTTCTGATTTTTATTCTCAATATATTTTTGCTAAACCTATTTCACAAATCACCACCGACTGAAATGTGTGTTTACTGATGCGACCCTGAGTTCCATGGCGAAAGGAGTGACCTCTGCAGGGCCCAAGACCGCAGTCTGCTCACAGCACAGGAAATGACAACTTAGGGAGCCCAGAGGGTGCTGCAGGCCCAAGCCCCAGGGACCACAGCACGTGGGTCTAAGGAGAGGCCCAGAGCGGCTTCCATCTCAGCACTCCGTGGGTCTGCTGATGGAAGACGCAGACTCTGCTGATGGTGGTCGCCCTTTGCCAGGGCGCACACTAAGTATGTGGTCTTGGGGGTGGAGGCTGGCCTGGTGGGTGTGTGTGCCTTGCATGTCTGGGCACTGGTCGAGGTCTGGTCTGACACCCTCTCCCTGTGAGATTTCAAAAGGTCCAGCCCTACAAAGTGAGACATATCTGAGTACTTCCTATGTTGTAAGACTTGGTTCTTTTTTGAGGGATCCTCAGCCCTGGGAAGTCTGGAGTACCCTGGGAAGGGGCACCGTGTGTGCTTTTGCCCGCGTGCCCTGAGAGGCTGTTGCTTTCCGGTGGGGGTGGGAGGGAGAGAACATTCAGCAGCAGCAGGTGCTTTTTTATGGCCTTTTCTTCTTAAAATAACCTAAGGAGGACACATGCATGTTGCAGAAAAGTTTACAAAACTCCTCTTGAAAACTTGTGCTGGGGCCTCCTGTTCATTTTCTGTGTCATCTTTTACACCTTGTCAACCTGCAGTGTCTTTGTACCTGAAACCGGCTGTTCTGTGGTTTTCTGACCTGCAAGTGTGGGGTGGCCCTCTGCAGCTCCCACGCCTCCCTGAGCACTGACTGGAAGTTTCACTAGCTGGTGGCTGTCCCTTCTCCCATCATGGCCCCCAGCAAAGTTAACTACACAGAGGACCCAGAGGAAATGAGCCGTGTAGCCACTGACTTGCATATGTGTGGCCGTGGCCTTTGAGGTGCACTCACCGGTTAAGACGGGTGGGAGTGCTTTCCAGTTCACGCTAGCGTCTCTCAAACTGTCCTAAGAAAATACTGGATCAGCTCATACATGTATGCTCCTTATGCCCTCACTTGGAAGGCTGTTGCAGGGAGAGGCTGGGCAGTGTCTCCACACGTGCGTGGCCCTGGCCTTTGGAGTCTGAGGCCTCAGGGCCCCGCCGTCACTTGCCCAAAAGATCCTTTCCAGCAGCGAAGGAACTAATCACACTTGTGTGAAAACATCAGAACTGGCTTTGCAGTGCACTTTCGGGCACAGGTATTAACTTATTTTTGTGTTTGACAGAAGTAAAATCTTATGACTTTTAGTCACTTTGTTAATACTTCCAAATTGTAATCTTTCTTAAGGAAATACTGCAAAAATTTTAAATATGGTTCCTCCCTCTGTCCAAAAACTGTTAAACTAATGAACAAATAACACTAACTTTGAATGTCCCTAGAATACCAGGTGGCAACTCGGCGAAACCAGACTTTGGGGTCGTGGCCCGAGCCTGCAGGGCTCCTCTCCCTGGGGCTCACCAGGCCCCCCGCTGTGACCGTGGATGTGCCTGGCGCTTGGCCCTGCGTGCGCAGCTGTGTTCTGAGGACGAGGTGACTTCCTGAACTTCACTTCTGTCATTCATGTGAGGCAAAACACAAAAACTGCCCCACCCCTCAGGATTCCTTGGCATCTGAAACCAACCAGGATCTGCACCTAAACCCAGATCCACCGGCGTGTCCTCACAGGGGATGTGTCTGATTGGGCAGCTTAGAATGTCACCTGTGGGGAAACTCCTCAGGCACCTCAAGTGAGGACCCAGCTGTCGGTCCTCAAGCCGGCCTTCCCGGTGACACCCGCCTGCGGCCGTCTGGGTCCCCTTCAGTGTTTGTCTTGACATTAAACCCCAACGTGTGCAGTGCCCACCTTCCAGAACTACCTGTTTTATAATTAAAGTTAATGCAAATGACTGTCAGTTGCCAAATATCTTGATCCTGTGAGTGTAGTTGGCTGTTGTTAGTGGGTAGATAAAATGCTGTCCGTGGGTATTGTGGCAGCGCCGCACTCTGCTGAGGTGCGAAATGCCGTCAGAAATTAAATGCAAACTTAAATGTGCCGATTGGTGTCTAAACTTCATACAATATAAGGTCAGATTCCTTTTAGGAATACTGGGTGCTGTCACCAGGTTTGATAGTTAGACTTAAAAACTTGAAATTCACTTTTGGGGGGGGATATACTCAACTAGAGACTTGAGACTTGCCAGTTGGGGAAAATAGCATTTAAAGTGGAAAGCTGTGTTTGGAAAATAGTGTATGAGTATTTTCGTATTAAAAACATTTTAAAGGCTTTTTTCTTATTTTATATGGGATTGTGTTTTTTTTTCCAGTTGCTCAGCATGGTAAGGCGCTGATGGCACTGATGCCTCTGAGGGTGGGGCTCCCTGTCCTGACCGTGCCGTTTTGCTTTTGACCTGCTGGGGAGAGGCAGTGCCACCTTTGGAAGTAGAACAAATACTGGAAGTAGCAGGGGTAACTGACTTTGGATAATTTGCTTCCCAAATTCCCATTAAAGGTGAAACGGTCTGGGGAGAAAGAACCGCTGCTGTCCCTCAGCCCTGAGCCAGGCGGTCCCCAGGCCCGCAGCCAGGTCCAGGGAGTACCCCGAGGGCTGATCTTACCTGTTCCCCCCTCCCTGTGAGCCAGGGTGTACTAGGGAGCTCCCAGCCCTGGACCACCCCGTCCTGATGGCCGCTTACGGAGGGACTGGGCCCCCAGTGCAGGGAGGACAAGCTAGCCCGAAACACAGCTATGGTGGCTTTCTTTAGAAAAGCTAAACTTTAATTGTTCAGATAATTTTACAATGAAAATAAGTACCCAAAGACTGTCGTAAATGTCCACAACTGTACAAAAGATGAATACAAAACTCCCCGGCAGGCACTGGCAGGGGATGAGGCCCACCGTCTCCCACACTCTGGTGTGGTTGGGTGTTCCTGCCCACCCCCGGCATCACCGATGCCACCTTGGTCCCCTCAACCTTGGGGGCGGGAGGGCACTGCCCCAGCGAGGGAAGGTCCTTACTCGCTGTCAGTGGAATTTCTTTAAGAAAAGATTGTTAAAAGTAAGAGTCTAACAGAGCTGTCACTAAAATTAGGAAGTTGTAACTTTTGGTTAACTTACTACATTCAAAAATGTAACGCTGAGTCCAAAAAGTGTCTTAAATCACACAAAAAGGAACTCATATTAAAATTTTAAAAATAAGCCCAAAACACCCCAGAGAAATGCATCCAGAACTGAAACAGGCTGGGTCAGCAGCAGGGCGGTGGCCAGGGCAGCTGGGGGGACCTCGTGTGCCAGGTGTCCGCCGTCCGGGTACTTTATGCCGGCAAAGCCATCGTCCCTCGGAGCCCCCAACTGAGGGCCTGCTGTGAGGCAGGCGGCCTAGGACACGTTGGTCATGGGCTTGTACTTCTTGAAGCGCGTCCACTGGCCCGTGGCATAGTTCATCTCGAACACCGTGTCCACCAGCATGGTGGTGCTGCCCTGGCCGTCCGCCTTGGGCAGGTCCTCCGTGTGCTCGCTCAGCTTGATCTGGATCACGTCCCCTTGCTCCTGGCACGGGTTCTCTGCAGAGGGCAGGGACTGCTGGGTGGGTGTCTGGGGCCAAAGCGCCCACCCCCGACCCCGCCCGGTGCACCCCAGCCCCTGCCGCATCCACACACCTCGGGAACCGGCCATGAAGCCCAGGATGAGGGCCTTCTCGGGCCGCGTGACTTTGTTGGCTGTCTTGAACATCTCCTGGGCGGCGAACATCTGCTCTCGCTACAGCGGGCAGAGGGGTGTGGGTGACGGGGCTCTGCCAGGACCACCTCCTGCCTCCCCCTCTGCAGGCACTATGACACCTCCATCCCAGGGCAGGTGGCCAAGGCTGTACCACCTACCTGGTGGCCTGTGGGCCCTGCCAGGGCATACCTACCGTGAGGGACAGGTTCTTCTTAGGCTGTTGTTGGGCAGGAGGCTGGCTCTGTGGGGCCACCATGGCCACCGGGGGTGTCTGAGTGGCAGGGGCAACAGCCGGGGGCGTGGTGGGCGTCAGAGGCGAGGTGGGCGCTGCAGGTGTGGGTGTGGCAGGGCTCAGGCCACTGTTGTACATGGGTGCCCGCTGCTTGAACTGTGCCGGCAGCGTGGGGCTCGGGGCACTGGGTTCCTCTGGTGGGCGGCTGGCTTCCCGGGAAGATGGGGCTGCAGGCAGACCAGGATCTGGTGAGGAAGCTGGACCCCGCCCTGTCCCCAAACCCTAGTGCTCCTGGAGGTGACAGGCTCAGCTCCCCTTCTCTGTCCTGCTACCTCTAACAAAAACTCCCTGTGGCCGCAGCTGGAGGAGTAAGGCCAGCAGTCTCAGGTCTTCCCAGACCCGCAGGTAAGATGTGTGGACTCCGGCCAGCTGCTGGCCTGTGGCGGGGCCCCCATACCGCAGGCACTGATGGGGAGAGGAAGGCTGTGTCCGCAAGCCCCTCAGGCCCAGCGCCTGGCCTGGGGTGCCGTGAGCCTGGCAGTGCCTTCCATCTGGGAGTGGATAGCCCTTAGCTCTCCTCCCCCCCTACCCAGCAACAAGAGCTGGCTCACCTGGCAGAAGACTCCTTGCGAGCCCAATCCCCTTCCTGCCATATCCCTTGGGGCAGCTGCCTGTCTGTGCCCAGGACAGGCAGAGGGGCAAAACAGCTGGTTTAGGTCTTGGAACTTGAGCTGACTAGCAGGGCACCTGCCCCTAGCACTGGCCGTGGCAGAAGGGGGACAACAGAGATGCGGCAGTGAGAACTGCAGTCCTAGCAGCGCCCGGGGGACAGGGCCATGTCCTGGTGGCAGCTTGGCTGGTTCCAGGCTGGGGCCAGCAGACTCACCTGGGGGCGTCTCAGAGCTGGGGGTGTAGGAGGAGGCAGGAACCACACTGGGCGTGGAGGGCAGGTAGCTTGTGGAGGGCAGTGCAGGTTCATTGTTCAGGGACCCAAGTTTCTGGAAGACAGTTTAGGGTCCCTCCCAGAAGAGGCCCTGCTTCCAGCATGTGCTCCCTCACGGCCCACAGGCTGTGGCCCCCTAAGCTAGAGCAGGATGGTGGGGGCCATTCCCGAGCTCCCTGGGCTGGGCAATGGGACCCCTGGCGCCCCAGTAGAGTCTGGGACTGAGCAGCTCCTGGATAGGAGAGGGGAGGGGTTGGGGAGCCCAAACCGCCCCTTTCTGAGGACTGAAGGAAAGAACAATGCTTTTTCTTACCACAAAAGCATTGATAAAAGGAAGATGTTCATGTTCAGAAACCCAGAACATGCAGCTACGCGACGGGAAGGAGCTTATTACCCAGAAGTGACCCCGTGGTGTGGCTTCCTCCGGGCCCTGGCCTCAGATGACCCACTGCCTCCTCCCACCCACAGGCAGGGCCTGGTCTCCAGTGCACTGAGGCCTCTGACAGGTCCCACCTAGCACTCCCACAGGCCCGGCCAGCGCCCATTCATGGCCACCTGCAAGGCAGGTACCACCAGCCCTACCTGACGGGACACTGACCGCAGGGGTGAGGGACCCCCCACCCCGCAGCCCCTCCAGCAGGCATGGGGCAGGTGCCCGTGCCAAGCCCGAGTCTGATGCCCACGTCAGGGCACCACCTGCACTGCTTCTCATATACATACACACACATGCATACCGCACACATACATACACATAAACACACACACACACACACACACGAGACTGGCCACAATCAGAACAAGGGGTGCAGCCCTGAGCCCTACCTGCGTGGACACCAGGCCGGCCGCGTAGTCCGGAGTGGCGTTCTCCACGACCGTCTCCTCCTTGGCCGGCTTCTCTACCACCTCCGCATCTGTGGACAGAACAGGCATCCTCGCCAGCGCACGGGCGCGTCTGCAGGCTCAGCTCGGGGCAGCAGCAGGGAAGCCAACAGCTCCCCAGGACAGGACGCCAAGGAGCCACGAGAAAAGCAGCACCCACCCACGGAAGAGGAACCTCGAGGGGCACAGCCCTGCCTGCCAAGAACAGACATGCCCCACCCCGTCTGGGCAGGCCCACAGGGACCCCCACTGCCACCTCTGAGCAGGCCCCCGGCACCCACCGAGAGTCTTCCTTCTCCGCTTCGCCTCTCGGCCAGCGCCAACCATATCCAGCTCAGAGATGTCCAGCAGCTGCCAAGATAAGTACAGCCCACCTTAGTGACACTGCAAGCGCCAGCGTGCCACGGGCCTCAGGGCGCCACAGGAGCTGCGGGACAGGCCTACCTTCACGCCCCGTTCTTTCCGCAGCAGCGTCCTGGAAGGCGGGATGGGGGTCCGGTTCCCTGTGGGGCTGAAGACGCTGGGCGCCGTGGGGCTTCTGAAGGGCGCCTGCTTTGGGATGCCTTTGAGCGGGGCTGGAGGACAAGGGCATCTGTCAGGGCCAGCAGCAGTGACCGCCAAGCCTCCCCTGCCCCTCTGAGCCCAGAATGTCCCAGCCTCTTCTAGGGGAAGGCCAAAACCTCGACAAGCAGCAGGCGGGACCCCCAGGATCCCGGACCTCAGGGAGCTGGGGGGGCACCTGGAGCCACGACCTCACACTTGCCAAGACACTAAAACGAATCGCTGGGCGTCACCTCGGCCCAGCCACAGGACCTCACCAGGTGGAGGCTCTCACCAGCACTGCGGGGGCTGAGCTCCACCTCCTTGCACCTCCACAGGCAGGGGCAAGAAGCCAGGTGCCTGGGCCCGAGGGCGGCCCTCCCCAAGTCCATGCCCTTGCCCCCCAGCACCCACATGCACCCCTCCAGGGTATGTGTGCATGGCTCTCATGGTGCCAGGCTGGGAAAGAGGGGTGTGTGGGGGGGGACTGTGCCATTAGCATACTGGGCCAGGCTAGACACCCTGCCCAACATCGGCCCACCCTCCCTGGGAGAGCAGGTGCGGCCCTGGCCCTGGGGTGCCTGGCTGGGGTGGAAAGACAGGGGTCTGCTCCAGGCAGGCAGAGTAGAGCAAGGTGGAGCCTCTGCTGCACTGGGCAGGGACATGACCCGGGACAACAGTCAGCAGACCCAAGAAGCCTTCCACCAGGTGCCACGTGGACACTGGGATTACATGAACCCCAGTACACCAAGCCAGGCTGGGCCGAGTGCTGCTTGGAGGTGCCTGCATGGCCGCCCCACCCATCTGTGAGTTCACTCAGCACAGGACAGCACCTGTTCTACCCTCTGGCCCCCAGGTCACTATCCAGCACCTCTGGGGTGCCTGTGCCCTGCCATGGTTCCCAGGGGCACCCCGTCTTCCAGTCACCAGGGTCCATTCTGCTTAAGCTCACACCCAGCCCTGAGCACAAATCAGGAAGGGCAGATGGAGGCATGCAGCAGGTGCAGCCCCGGCTGAGCATGGCCACACCCTCCCTGCAGGGCCACACCCTCCCTGCAGAGCCACCCAGGGACACTCGGAACCCAAGAGCAGCTAGGAAGCGCAGGAGCCGCTGCTGCTGCTACCATCAGCCAAAGAACAGGGGACAGCGCCATCCTCAGAACCCGGCCTTTCTGTCTCAGCGCCCACGTACCCTCCCAGGGAGCTCCCCAAGGGGAAAAGCTGATGAAATGGCCCCAGTGCCTCTGATTCCCACACGCTCCCAAGGCCAAGCACAACTTCCCTAACATGGAGCGGCATCTCCAGGGCAAGCCCTTAGCTCCACCCCAAAAGCCAGGCTCGCTGCACTGGGGGCCTTACTGGTGGTGTCCATCTTCCGCAGCAGTCCCCGGCCCTTGGCGTGGAAGGGCACCCCAGCGCTCCGCTTCAGCTGCTGGGCGGTCTCCGTGGCTGTAAGGAGGAGGTCGCATGTGTCGGGGATCCTCAGAGCATGAGCCCTCGGCCCTCGTAAATGAACCGCCGTCAAGCGGATTCGCCCAGTGGCCTGAGCCGTGAACGCTGTGTTTATGGGTTTATGGGCAGCCATCTGAGCAGAGCCTGACGCCAGCTCACACATTATGAGTCAGAAACTCCCTCGGGTGAGCAACTTCCAGCAGCTGGGTGGCTATGTGCACCTCCCAGGACCCCAGGGCAGGGGGAGGTGGCAGAGGAGCAGTTGAGGGGCCTCATGGGCACCCTCAGCCGACTGGGGCCTACCCACAGCCCAGTGGGAGTGCTGTTCTCGCTGAGGGTCAGCAGGCACGGTCTAGACACAGAAATATGAGGAAGAAACAGATTTTCCTGACTTGGCTCAGTGAGGCTAAAGGATCAGGGGACACTGATTGCCCACAGCAGCCTCCAAAGGGGACAAGTTCTACTGTGGGGTGTGGCCCAAGGGGCCAGCAGAGTCCTTCACAGGCTGCCCAAGGGGCCTGGGGCTGCACAGAGCCTCCAGGACACGTTGGGCCCCGGCTGCCACCCATTCCAGCCAAGGGTAACACGCAGCTGCTGTCAGCCTTTTCTTTGGATTCTCTGAAAGCGGGGTGTTGATGTACATTATAAATATTAATTCCATCAGCACTCAAAAGAAAAGGATTTTACTGAAATCTGTTGTGCTAGATAAGATCTGGGAAAACATTAAATGAAATGATTAAATGGCTTCCAAATCAAACAGAGATCACTGGCAACTCGAGAAGGCAGCTCATGAGGTAAGGATGGTGCCCTCCAGCCATTCCCGCCTGCCACACTCCCGACAGCATGACAGCTGCACAGAGTTCATTTGGTAACAGGGATTAGAGATGCTTTAACTGAAATTCTGAAGGTGTTTTTTTTTTTTTTTTTTTGACGGAGTTTTGTTTTTGTTACCCAGGCTGGAGTGCAATGGTGTGATCTCAGCTCACTGCAACCTCCGCCTCCTGGGTTCAAGTAATTCTCCTGCCCCAGCCTCCCAAGCAGCTGGGATTACAGGCATGCCACACCTGGCTAATTTTTGTATTTGTAGTAGAACAGGTTTCAGTATGTTGGGCCAGGCTGGTCTCGAACTCCTAACCTCAGGTGATCTGCCCACCTCGGCCTCCCAAAGTGCTGGGATTACAGGAGTGAGCTACCACCCCTGGCCTAAATTCTGGTTTTTAAAGCATGTTTTCAGAACACAAAGTTTAATATAGCAATAAATAAACTTCTAACAAAAAACTTTATGCAGAAATTTATCTTTTTTTTGAGATAGGGTCTCACTCTCTCCCAGGCTGGGTGTAGTGGTGCAGCTCACTGCAGCCTCAACCTCATGGGCTCAGGAGATCCGCCTACCTCAGCCTCCTGAGTAGCTGAAAGCACAGGCATGCAGCGCCATGCCTGGCTAATTTTTTGGTATTTTGTGTAGAGATGGGATTCTCTATGTTCACCAGGGGTCTCCAACTCCTGGGCTCAAATGACCCACCTGCCCCAGCCTCCCCAAGTGCTGGGATTACAGGTGTGAGCCACCACACACCTGGCCCAGAACGCTATCTTATTGAAGGGGCAGCCTTGGAACCTCAGAACCCAAAGAAACCTATCACTGGAAACTACATGACAGCGCCCGAGGGCGGTGGCGCACACTCACACTTCTGCAGCAGCTCGGCCCGCAGCGTGGCACTCTTGGGTTTCCGCTTTAACTGAAAATGCTTCACCGGGGGGGTGAGGGGTCCTGCGAGGGTCGTCAGGGCGTTTTTGTTCAAGTACTGGCACTCTAGTGGCAGCATGGCAGACGCTTCGCACTCACCCACTGCACAGTAAGAACCACAGTTAGGGGCACCCTGGCAGCTGCCCGGCCCCATACCCTCCTCGGTTAGGTTTAGGTGGTGGGAGCTTTGGCTGTTTTTGAGTCCCCTGGAGTCTCCGAGCCCAACTCCCCTCGGCCCCTGCAGGTGCCCTGCAGCATATTCAGAACAGGAATGCCTGAGGCAGGCATCCTGAGGAGGCTTCGGACTGTCAACTCCGGCACCGCAGGTACCCGAGAACCACAGGTGGACACACGTACAGTGATTCCTGGAGGGGCTCCAGAAACTTCTAGAACATGACATGTTGACAGATCCCCCCGAAAGTAAGAAAGAGCCCCTGTCTATGGCTTCTCTCTTCCGGTCCCCAGGGCAGCCAGGCCAATGGTTTCTCCTGGAATCCCAGTCCTCATCAAAACTGCCCACATTCATTTCCTGAGTCTTTGCAGTCACTCGGGGTTCAGAGCCCAGGAACAGCCCCAAGAGGGACGGGGGACCTCCCACCTGAACTGGCCATGTGCCCTGCCTGGAGAAAAAGCACAGGCAGGCAGAAGAGAGTTCACCGCCCCTGGCTTTCCTCCCCGTGGGACGCTCTCGATTGACGCCAGCAGGGTGGGTGGGGTGGCCCTGTTCAGACCACTGCTCCAGAGGCAGCTGCATGGTGTGCGCCCTCACAGGGGTAAAGGTGCCTCGCAGGACCCCTGCAGGAGCGTGCAGCCTCCATGTCTCCACCCCACAACCCTGTCTCTCTGGGTGTTGCCCTTGAAAAAGCTGGGCCACAAAGTTTGGGCTCTGAGGAGTCAGTTCCAATTGTCCAAAGCTGGAGGGAAATTCACAGAAGCACAAGCAGCCCATCAACAGATGTAACGGATGTCCTTCCAAAGCATCTACCAATTGCTTTTTTTTTTTTTTCTGAGATGACGTCTCGCTCTGTGGCCAGGCTGCAGTGCAGTGGCACGATCTCAGCTCACTGCAACCTTCGCCTCCTAGGTTCAAGCGATTCTCCTGCCTCAGCCTCCTGAGTAGCTAGGACTACAGGCACGTGTCGCCATACCTGGGGAATTTTTTGTATTTTAGTAGAGACAGGGTTTCACCATGTTGGCCCGGATGGTGTCGATCTCCTGACCTTGTGATCTGCCTGCCTTGGCCTCGGCCTCCCAAAGTGCTGGGATTACAGGCGAGAGCCACAGCACCTAGCTGTTTTTTCTTTTTTTAAGAGACAGGTTCTCACCCTGCTGGCCAGGCTGGAGTGCAGTGGTGTGATCATGGCTCTCTGTAGCCTTGGCCTCCCAGGCTCTTTTGTAGAGATGGGTTCTTGCTATGGTTTCCAGGCTGGTCTTGAACTCCTGGCTCAAGTGATCCACCCACCTCAGCCCCCAAAATGCTGTGTTTATAGGCATGAGCCACAGAGCCCAGCCTTGTGAATATTTTCTAAGTGCTTTCCAGTCCACATTCAAATAACTGAATTGTTGAGATTTTCAACATGCATTTCTGAGCATCTACTCTGGGCCAGGGAATGTTCTGGGCCCTAGAATCTAGGACTGGTGATACAACCTGAACAGGTGGAGCCCCTGCCCTCATGGAGACGACCAGAGAGAGACCACGGAGTGACGCGGCTCCCACTGACAGGGCAGCAGTGAGGATGGGGCCTGTGGGCTGTTTTGTTTTCAAAATGGCAAAAAGTCAGGCCACGGCTTAGGGGGAGGATGGTGTGGATATAGTTGATATTTTAGGGACCAGGATACATAGTAACAATGTAACCCTCTAAAAATCTAATTCATTTTGGGAAAAAATTGTTCAAGAAAGATCCATTTCCCTCCTCCCAACACGAATTAAAGCCACACAGCATACCCTTTTCTCTGAGTTCTCCCAAAATATCCTGAACGTTGGGATTCTGCTCCTCGAGCTCCAGGTTAAGCGAGCCTGTGTCGGGAAAGGACTTGAGGATGTCGGCGACCATGAGCACCCAGGGGTCCGAGTCGAGGCTGGCGAGCTGGATGATCTCCATCAGGGCGCCCTTCATCTGCAAGAGAGGATGCTGCCAGTGCCACCGTGCCCCACCCACTTCCGAACCCACTCGCTGCTGAGCTTCCAGATGGGCACTGGGCAGTGGCCGGGTTCTCTGGCAATCATCAACACCACTTCCTCCTGGGGGCTCTCTTTCCCCTATGCCCCCCACCTCACCCCAGGGCCACCCTGCTTCCCTGAGCTGTCACAGACTCTGCCAGGTTGCAAGACCCGGGCATCCAGTACCACCCCCCAACCTCCCAGCAGCACCCAGTCTGCTGGACCTGCTCTCCTCAACTGGTGTTCGGATGCAAGAAAACCTAAAGGTTGAGAAGTGGGGCCAGCACCCACCCCCACAGGAAGCCTGCGGGCGGGGGCATCCTGGGGTGATGGCGGGCATAGAGCAGGCAGGCGCGTGGCAGAGCACAGCGGCACGAGTCACCTGCCGCTGCTCGCTTGGAGGGGTGGTGCCCGGGTAGGCAGGGGGTGGGGGCTGGGACCTGGGGTGGGACCTGGGGCAGCACCCGTGACAGCTGAGCTGGTGTCCAGTCACCAGCTGGGTAGGGACGGCCGCCTCTGGGTCTAGACGGAGCTGGGAGTTGGCGTTCATGGAGCCTGGAGTGAGGCCAGGGCCTTTGGGAGGCCATGGGTGATGTGGGTGGAGGAAGCAGGTGCCAACTGCACTCCCTCAATGCCTGAGAGGCTGGATCCGTCCCCACCAGAGCCTGCTTCGGCCACATAAACCCCCTCCCGTGTGGAAACGCAGAGAGCCAGGGCATGGTGTGCCTGTCTCTGCTATGGACCCACGGGGCTGCTCATAGTGTGAGACGGCCAAGCTGGCTGGCACCGGGGATGAGCAACAGCACCCTGCCCTGTCCACATGCTGGGCCGAAACCCTCGCATGAGGCCTTCCTGACACCCACTCCACGCGTCAGGCACCAGAGTCATGTCCTAAGAGGGCTGCGGCCATCACATCCCTGTGAGCGCCACCTCCTGGTGGCCTCTGAGTGGGAGGAGCTTCCAATGCTTCTCCTCAGGCCTTGCTGTCCTCATCAGCTGCCTGTCCTGAGGGAAGGTAGTTTGACGGGCAGAGTTGAGGTCGTGCCAAGGGAGCCTGCCTGCTGCCGAGCCCCGCTGCATCTGCCTTGAGGAGTCAAGAACCCCTGACTGGCCCAGCCCTTCTGTTCCTTGGGCACCAGGGAGGGTCTCGCCCCGCCCCGCCCCCCACCTGGCCCCCACTCCCCACACCCACCCGAGGACAGGGAACAGCGCACAATGCAGAAGACACCACACGGGTGCAGGAGGTGCTGGGCACACGGTGACGCTGGCAGCCGCACAGCCCCCGCTGTTCCCGGCAGCCCCGGGGGATGCCCTTTACCTGCCAAGAGGCAAGCAGCAGCATTTTATAAAAATAGTAAAGACAAAAAGAAGTCGGGGGTGTTAATTTAAAACAAAAAAGACCACTGTTACATGGAGTAAATGTCTTCTCTCTCCAAAATGCCTATGTTGAAGCCTGTCTACTCTGCTTGGGCTTTTGTAAGAAAATGCTTGGCTTGGCCAGGAGCGGTGGCTCACACCTGTAATCTCTGTACTCTGGGAGGCCCAGGAGGGCGGATCACCTGAGGCCAGAAGCTCCAGACCAGCCCAAACTGCATGGTGAAGCCCTGTTCCTAATAAAAATACAAAACTAGCTGGGTGTAGTGGCGCATGCCTGCAATCTCGGCTACTCAGGAGACTCAAGGGAGAATCACTTGAACCCCGGAGGTGGAGGCTGAAGTGAGCTGAGATGGAACCACTGCAGTTCAGCCTGGGCAACAGAGAGCAAAACTGCAACTCAAAAGACAAAGAAAACACAGGCCGGGCGCGGTGGCTCAAGCCTGTAATCCCAGCACTTTGGGAGGCCGAGGCGGGTGGATCACGAGGTCAAGAGATCGAGACCATTCTGGTCAACATGGTGAAACCCCGTCTCTACTAAAAATACAAAAAATTAGCTGGGCATGGTGGTGCATGCCTGTAATCCCAGCTACTCAGGAGGCTGAGGCAGGAGAATTGCCTGAAC